TGAAGGCTAATCATGTTTTGGGTGTACTATTCCTTTAAGCTTCTAAAACTCTTCCGCCTTCAACGTCTTACTGAGGCTGGAAAGGATGGAGGAACTTTGGATCCACCTTAACTGATGATCTCTACCCCGTATCATCTTCTCCTTGTCCAGCCCATCTTATTAATTTGATTCCAACTCCCCTCCGTCTCCTGCTGATGTTCCTATTGGCCAGGCACTCCAGGTTTTGCACCCATTGGTTGGTGCATCAATGTTTTCCTGCAGCTTTTAGATCCGATTCTGCTTTCATACTTGGCTGATTTATCTCTTTGATGTCCTGCTAAATGACCATATTTTTAAAGTCGGACATATTGAAGCAGAGACGCATCTAAAGAAAAAAGGTGAAGCAAACCGGACCTGCAGGACCAGGACTGAGTAACCTGTGGTTCTAGATGTTTCTGCTCCCTGCATCCAATGATTGCATTTCCTCTGAGACCTGGTAACCATTCATGAGTTCAGGTGTGGGGAGGAGGAGAAATACCTGAAACAAGCAGAGCAGACGTCTCTCATCATCCTTCAGAGCTGCAGGTTTGGGCCGACAGACACGGAGCCTCGAGTGGCCCCAAACAATTCTGGGATTTTTTTAGGATTAAACAGCAAAAAACAGACAAACGAGGCAGAAACTTTTTCTTTTATTCAGGTTTTCATCAAACACACTCGTGCAGCTTCTTTAATTTAATAGAAAATATACAGACATTTGTCTAAAATCAAGAAAATAGATCTCTGAGAATAGAAATACAACTCATTCATTTGGTCAGTGTTCCAGAGAAAGAAGGAAACTTTCCTTCAGCATAAACATCTAAACGCAGCAGAGCTGGCGAAGTTCTCCAGATAAACTGCAGCGCCAAGCAGGTTGATTATATTCCTATAAACATCCCTGTGATTTAACATAAAAGCATGTTTTAAAAAAATCCTCAATTGTGATTAAAACTAAATGTCAGCAGGCGACACAAGTCGGTGCAGCGGCACATTTTAACCAGCAGGAGGCAGCAGATTCAAGGCACAAATATTAAGTTGCAAACAAAACACCAGCTCAGGGAAAATGGAGGAAGGATAAAGGGTAAAAGTTCAGTTATTTGCTAAACTTGTTAACTAAAGCAGAGAAGATCGGTTCAAATTAATCGGTTAATTTGATCTCATGCTGCTGCTGCAGACCGACGTCCTCTGATAGGACAGAGGAGGCAGGATCTCACTAGAGCAGCACAGTCATTCTGAAGTCCCCCTTTATGCCCCAACAATGAATAAAACAAAAAAAATATGGTCTTACACTGCAAAATTTTTTAAATCTAAACAGTCTTTTTTTTTTTTTTTCATTAACCCTTTAAAGCCCGATCCAAGAATAAAACAAAACAGAAAATTACTTTTTTTTTTCTTTTAAGTCCTTATTTGGCCTTTTAACAAAATATGTAAAAAGAAAAAACAGAAATACATTTTTGATATTAATAATTTATTACTATGCGATAAGTCTAGATTATTTTTTGTGTAGTCTTCTACTGGCTGTTATCTACGGAAGAGGATTAGGGCCACTGAAAAAAAGTAAACTGATTTTTAAATTTTATTTCAGTTTAACATGGGGAAAAAAGTCAGAATTCTGA